CAATTGGCTTGCTTGAAAATCTCACGGAGCACAGTATGGGAATTTTATCGGGTAATGGATGGTCGATATAGTGTGTTGAATAATATGTTTAGTAGGTATGATTTATACTTCCCTCTCTGGTACTGATAGAAAATATGACGCCCGTATGAGTGATTCGCTGGATACTGTTGAGTGCTTGTGTGGACATACGTGTTAATATTTTATGGGGTGGTAATTAGTAATCTAGTATTAACCTCCTTGTTAGAAATTGGTTAGATGGTATTTGGTAGTTTATTATAGACATCCGTATCATCGGTTCGCTGGATACTAGTGAATGTATTTTTCGGGGATTCGTGTGCTTAGTGTCCTTGACGATTATGATAGGTAGAAGGTTCACATACATCGTGCTATTGCTTGGGCATGAACCCTTTCCTTGCTGTTTGGTGTTTTGGATTCAGAGTCAAACGACTTGTAAGACGTTCTTTTCATCATTATTCGTGACCGGGATTCGATACTTTGATCATTGAAAGTAGATTGATTACGATGATGCCCACTGGACTACCCGATCAGTTTAAATGAAATCTGTTAGAGCATGGGAGTAGTAATAAATAAGTAATACTGTTTTGTAGAATATTTTTGTTGAATATGGCAACTGACCGATCATCGTTTTTCCAGAGAAAGAAAGAAGAAAGGTTTTATTTAGTAAGTTAAAGTCAATGATAAGCGCACAGGAATGTGAGATGTTGAAAACTGAAAAGGCCTTGGTTACGGATAGAAGTTCTCAATGTTGAAGTTTTGTTCAAAGGTAGAATAGTTGTTCGGGCTTTTATTTGACAAGATATGAGTATGCTAAGTGCGAGTAAATCCGGTTAGTTTGACGTAATCAGCATCTGTTAATAACATGCATTCATCGAAATCAAGGTGTTTCTTACAGTTGAGTCACGAACGATACGTTTGAAGGACGTTGATAAGATGTTGTGGAGAGAAAAGCCGATATTCCACTTTGTGTGGCACCAGCGACAGAAACGCTTCAAGCAACAGACGTTTATCGACAGTATGTTTCTTGCAGCATCGAGATCCTGAAGGTATTTCGATGTGACGTCGGATGAACATTTCCTTGCGATCTTCTTCACGAATAGTTACCGTTGGAGGCATCATTTGCTCTTTGCAAACATAACACTGACTACAAAACGAAAATACGTCAGTTGTTTATATTTGACAGAACTACCTTCTGGAAGAGATTGCAAGTTCAACTGGAATTTTCACACCTTGTCGATTTAGGCTGTCATCTGAGCTCGTTGTGTCCATCTTTGAAGTAAAATTACATAAAGGTAAGATGCATAGAAATGAACTTACTACTTCATTATCTTCAACCGCAGTTACTTCTTCATTTTCCACTTCATCACCATTGACTGACAAATCATCAAAAGATTCATCATCACTGAGTAATGAATCTGCCTTATTAACAGTATCAGATCCACTATCAGTTGAATTCGTCTCAACTAATGTGTCTTCCATAGGTTCATCACTGCTATTTTCTGCATCTATACACACTTCTGTTTCTCCATCTTCGTCGTTGACCTTGCCAATTACCACACTTGCTGTTGAATGATTATTGTCGATCATTCTTAATATATTGTAAAATTCTGGCAGAACTATCCACTTACTATACATAATACGACACTTTGTACAAACACAGGCATCCATCTGCAGAGACGTTGGAAACAAACGGGTGGCGACGAAAAGTCGAATGGATTTTCCAATAAGAGGACGTCAGCTGCTTGAAGTTGCGCGACCACCACAACAAGCACAGACATAAGACTTCTTCGAATTCATTTTATGCGAAATGAAATAACGATTCACGTAACCCATCCCTTTTATATTCTCTCCTCGCTGTCTCTAAAAAAATCTAACAAATTTCTCTCTTTAAAAATTTCTTCTTCACATCTCTCTCTCTGTAAAACACCTACACTCCGAATCACTCTCCGCCTAACATGCTCTTTCTGAATCTCTCTCGCAATCTAGTATCCTCTCCAAATCATTCTCCCTCCCCATCTCGTATAACATCTCTAAATCTCTCTCCAACCAACATATTTTTCCTGATTCTCCGTCGTTATATCGCATCCTCTTCCTTCAACCCTCTCTATACTATATCTATTATATGAATCTCTTTCTGTGCTTACTATCCTTCCTCTCCATTCTTAAAATCATGTTTCCATTCTTGCATAAGAATCATCCTCGATAGATCTCTCCAGCCTTACTTCGTTCCACACACATGACGCTACCATGCCCATAACCCCCATCTATCACCTACCGGATAATTCACAAACGATCTACGATAGAAGATCCAGAACCATTTCGCCATACTATTTTGACAATTGGTTTTCTAATAGGATCTTGATAAAGTGGTCCTAGAGATTTTTCGACAAAACCGAATTTTGCTTCATGTTTTATTATCACTTTGTAGCTCATAAAAAAGCTGTATCTGCACCTAAAAAGTGGCCCTTGTACCATGACCCATAGTCGAAATCATATGGATCATACTATACCAACAATTCGTTTTTCCACTTATTCTGGACAGTGTGGTCCTAGGAAATTTTCGAGCGCAGAATATTTTCCTTTACGTTTTGTGATCATTTTGTAGGTCTCCAATAGCTATCTCTTCTGAAAATATGAGTTTGATTTGGTAAAAAGACTCGGTTAACCTGTGAGGGGTTCGCGAAAATGATAATACTATTGTCCTAGTTAGAAATGTCGAGGAGCGATCTTTAAAGATGGTTTGAAAGATGCCCAGATGCTTTATTCTTACTTAGAGGAAGATGAAATTCAATTTTAGAAGGTGTTCTGAGATGATTTTTATTTAGGACCGTGTTACGTGCAAACCGCTCCCTGTCTTTGTTGTGACGAATATGGCAGATAGAGTAAAGAAAGAACAATCTGAGTTCTGTTTTTTTTCTCGATATTTTTTACTTCATATATTTGCTGCTGTTTCTCGTGATTTCTAATGGTTTTCAATACCGTAGCGTCCAACCAATATTATTTGTATTTCTGATGAGAGCTTGTGTATTACATCTAATAATGGAGGTGTTTGTACTGTAAGTTGAAAAACTTAGATATATTAGCGTCAAAAGAAAAACCTTGCTGCCAAACTAATCAGGTTAAGTGTATGAGATGTGGATGTGGGTATGAGTGTGGGTGTTAGTGAACGAAAGATCTATATCTACATCCATACATCCATACATCCACACCCACACCTACAAGTTCGCTCTCTGTAGATCTTGCCTAGTAAACGAGAGAAAGTCTAAACAGTGTCTCTATTTTTGAATAAAGTAGACACTTGATTTTTCTTGAAAACCTATGTAGTCTCGTGGATGTTGCGAAGAAGTAGATTTTTGACGCGACATTTTTTTTTGTAGCAAATACTTTTCATTTACTTATAGTTTTATTGAAAAAATATATTCATGAAGGTCATTTTTCTATTTTCATTGGTTTTTATCTCTACATGGTCAATAGCCAGCCACTTAGTGAATGCGTCTGTTTCGGGTGGAGCAGAGAAATGGATAAGTGAGCCCTATGTCGAAAATACGCCTCCTGATCCTCCTATCTATCCTCCAAGATGGACAGCAACTGTGCATTTTCAATTTATTAATGCATCGAATAATTTGCCTGCTGGCGTATCTTATACCAAATAATTGATTCAACCAACCATAAATTTTGAGCCGATGATCTTTATTTTGCTGAAACATTTCCTATCCCCTACGATACTCTTCTTACCTCATCTGTTCCTCCCAACAAATACCAATGCTACGCCAGCTTGACATCCAATGGAATAACTTGTGTTATATATCCGGGAAATCCGGTCACCCTGTCGCAAAATTGGATTGCCGAGTTATGCTCATACAACTCAACACTTTACTATCAAACAACCAAAGGTAATCGATGGAATTGTGCAACAGATGTTGTAACTTGGCTTATAAATACGGCAGCTGTTGATGGACGTATCATTCATCAGCATACACTTCCTCAACCATTCTTTGATGTCTATCAGCATTTGTGGCTCACAAATTATACGGTTGTTGTAGAAGAATTCCATCCAGCTATTTTTATTTCACCAAAAGGATGGAATTGTCCGAATTGTCCAACTGCTCAATCTGTGAAGGATACATTTTGTATAACACTCCTATTGATTTCCCTACTATTATATGCTCTGAATTGCAACAATAAGAACTAAACCCTACACTACTGTAAATTTCATTAATGAAAACAAGACTCCTATGTTCAGTCTTGCAAAGAAAATTGTCGTTAACCTTATCGAGACGGATTGTTTTTTCTATCAAAATTTGCTTCTTGTTATCAGTTTACTGAATTCCACTAAAAATCTTATACAATCTCAATGGTATTCAAGGAAACAGCTTTTGTTTTATCTGATACGCAGAAAGCCAGTTTACACTTACACTTACGCACACACTCACTCTTTTATTTCAAAATCATAAGTTTATTCATTTGATTTAATAGCAACCGACCTTCGAATCTGAAACAACAATTCGAGCCTGACCCTCATCAGAGTGCATTCGACAAGTTACATTGACGATCGATAAGGTAGAATGAAAGACCAGGAATGGAACGACTTCACTAAGTAGACCTTGAACAGTTATCAGTGCTAGATTAATTCCGATTTCATTGTCTATGCCTAAAATACGTTGAGAGCTTATAGCTGTCCATTTATTCCATTCGCCAAGTAGAGCATATTTCGTTGAGTTCTTGAATTCGATCAAAGGCGATACATACCAAAGACATATTGATAAATTATGACATTGAGTAGCTAAAACATTTAGAGGATGATCATCATCGAAAGTTGATACTGCGGTTGGATTATGATATGACCAGATCACTTCCGGTTGAGCCCCAATCATAGAAGGATAAACTAAATAATCTTGTTTCATCGCGGACGCAAAGATGGTATGGAATAGTTGACCATGTCTAAATATTAAAATTATTCAGATGATCACAAAGAGAAACACTTACATATTTGTTCTTGTAGAATAAAGTTCACCCTGTGATACACCATCATGAAAAGCCCAGTCCGATACTAATCTATTAATCATGGTCAATGGTCTATCTGGTTTCAAAATCAAACCATCTTCACGACAACATTTCATGATATGTTGTGCATTGGTATAATTAATAGCATCTCCAGGACTGACAGGTCTTGTGGACAAAGTCGCAATAAGTATTTCTCGTTCTGAAAGTACTTCTTCAGCATTTGGTTTATAAGGCGATCCGGGTTGTAATGAGGTAGACCAGAACACATCTCTGAATGGTGCTAAACCATTAGCATCAGCAAACATGCTTGATATTCCTATAGTCCATTGTTGTCCTTTACCATCAAGATGAACAGCATAATCCGGTGATGTTCGTGCTTGAGTCACGCGTGGAATTTGTAAAGCGCTGAGAATATGACGTGGTAAACTCATACAATACTGTATATTTAGTCCAATTTTGTCTGCTGCTTCACCCATCGATATTAGCCATTGACGTCCGAGATTAATATCAGTCCGTGTTGGTAAAAAATCAATTGTTTGCCGATCAAGCCAATCTTGTTCATAAAGAATAAGACCCCAATAATGTGCTTGAGTAAATAAATCAATCCAAAATGAATCATTACCAATTGGTAATGCTTTCTTACTAGTTTCGTCAAGAACAAAAGAATAATTTTGTTTATAAACAGTATCATATGCTCAATAGCGATTATGTGCTGCGAGAGGAATATTTTCTAATCGCCAATGTACAGTTTGGAGACCATCAGGAAAAATATCTGGACGAGCTGCCCATTGGGAAACACCATCGCCCATACCTTTATAATATCACTACGAATCAAGTTGCATATAATGCAATGGAAGTGAAATTTGATGACGAACATTAACCATAGTTTCTTCGTAATTGATTCCTTTTTCTGTATTATAATAATAATAACCACCATTATCGGTATAATATCCAAGATAATTGATCGTAACATCATATAGACGATGTTGATTCGTTCGAGTATATGCTCTTTGCATGAGTTGACCCCATTCTCTTATTCCTTCATTGATACCATTTGATGCATAAAAAAACCATCATGGCATGAATATAATTAGCTGATATTGATAGCATTGAGCCGATCACACCAAATTCTAATATGTTGTTATTCGTTTGACTTAATGAGGTAGCCATAAATTGAGAAAATGATGAAAGAACTAATATATCACCTTCTCCTTGTTGAGTTAAATTAAAAAGAACAACATGGCCACCTTGTATTCCTGATCGAATGACTTTACTGGATGAATTCCACCAACCTGCATGTTTACCATCATCGCCTGACATTTCTTCTGAAGAAAAGAGAAAGAGAGCGTTAAAAGCATTTCTAAAATCAATCTTACCTTCGAATGTAAAATAACCTCGTTGATCATTTTGATCCATTTGTTCAATACAAAACGATGGAAAAACTGTACGAACATGATCCATGTCAAGAGGGACGATGTTCGTCATAATTTGATCACCAGTATCTAAATGAAACGAAATTCCTGAAGCACCATACCAATCGCGTATGTGACCAACGATTGTCGTATGTATTCCGTCGCGAACAAGATCATAGCTTAATTGAAAATCTCGATAATCACCGAGATTTGGATCAAAACCACTTGTATAACTAATGCCAGTTAATGGTAGTGTATTATCATCGGATGAATACCATGTGTTATCGACGTATATAGCTGTACAAGATGAACGAAGCCAAACACGACGACCAATAGTAATATTGTATCCTCATTTTTCATCAATTACTACATTTATATTACCCCAACTCCAACATTCAACGATAAGAAGAAGTAACACTAAAACATGCATCTTCACCAATTACTCTGACCGACGTGCAAGATAATAGCACTATGTATACAGATAGTAATAAGAAGCGATCTCTCAGTGTTCTTTTTTTTGAAATCTAAATAGTGAATGTCACATAAACAACATTCATCCTAATATTTGAAAAGTGGGTGGGATAAACAAAATATAACCGGTGATACAATACAAATACACTAGACGACATTCTTGAATCGGGATGAAATGAGGTGATTTCGTGTATTCACCTCAATATCCTATTCAATCATCTCATCCGGTAAAATCATATATGTAGATTTGGATGTTGAAATAGAAATTACGGTACAAGATTTAGTACTTGAGCTTTCATTGTGTTGCAAAATAACAAGTGTCGATAATAAGAAATGTAATTCTTTTCGAATTCTAAATCATACTCTTGCCCTTACAATGCTATGTTTAGCTACCAGTTTTTTGAAGATAAAAGCAAATATCTCTTGTGACTCATATGATATCAGTCAACTTCGACACATATAAGATCAAGTGTGCAAGCAATCTTACCTTGAATGCTTGAGAGAACGTTTTCTGTTAGTATCAACTACAACTTTTTGTGTGCTCCTTCTGGTTACCTTTATTTGTGATAAAGAAGACTCCAGAGTAAGGGCAATTTATTTCATACGATGAAGCCGATGTAATACATTCCCATTTCTTTTGACGAGAAGAATGACAACTAAAAATTATATGAAGAGGTTTCATTCTACACTAGAATTTCTCCAAATCATTGCATGTTATTATAGCAAGATAAAACAAATATTGGGTATGGGTGTGGGTGTATTGAGTATGGGTGGGGTGTAGAGATGGAGGTGAAAAGACTCTTTATTCACACCCACATTCACACCCATACCAAAACCTACGCCAAGACCCCACCCACACCTCATCCACACCCACATACACCCACACCCTCTGTCATTTTGAATTATTTTTATGTCTCATTAAATTCTACATACGATGAGCTTAGTCTGAGCCGTCAGCCATACTTTGCTTTTAAAGAAAGGAACAAATTCGACATCTATGGGTATGCTTAACTAGGTTGGGTTCAATCGTTCAGGAGAGCCATGCAAAATAAGATAATGTGGTGGCTCTTTTATTTTTCAGCATTTTTATGTAGAGTTCAGTTCTGCTTTTAAATAAGACGGTCCAAGTCATCGACCATGCTTTGTTTCGAAAAAACTTTGAATTCCATATGCATGATGCTGAGCTTGGGGTCCAATATTGTGAGAGTGCCTTGCCGATTAAAAAAACTGATTGGTTTTTTCATTGCGAGTTATTTTTATGGACTATTCAATGCTACAGGCTAATGAAGCTGACGAGGGAAGGTCCCCAACTGATCAATCGCTTGTGCGTCGAGACTATGTGCATTATGTAGGTATGGATGAGCTATGAATATCCTAAAAAAAGTTTGGGCTGCTAGCTTGTTCGTAGGAAGATACTGCACTTTTACGGTACGCTTTTAAATGAATGCCGTGGTCCCTCTCAGGAACACCAGAAAAAATGATTTTCGAATTTCCACTTGAAACTTTACGTAGAAGCAGACCTTACTGAGAATAGTATTTTGTGAAAGTTTCACACCTTTTTTGCTGTTGCTATCCGTAGATACAGAATGATAACTCCATTCGGATAAACCAGAAGATTTCATGCTCTCATTTCAGGATAGGAACAAATCAAAAGACCTGAAATCTTCACAAAATACTATTCTCAGTAAAGTCTGTTTCTACGTAAAGTTTCAAGTGGAGATTCGAAAATCATTTTTTCTGGTGTTCCTGAGAGGGACCACGGCATTCATTTAAAAGCATACCGTAAAAGTATCTTCCTACCAACAAGCTAGCAGCCCAAACTTTTTTTTAGGATATTCATAGCTCATCCATACCTACATAATGCGCATAGCCTCGACGCAAAAGCGATTGATCAGTTGGGGACCCTCCCTCGTGAGTCTAGGAGTGAGTGTGTGGTTCGTATGGAGTGATGGAACAGATTTTCTGTTCTTCGAGTTCCACACACAGATCCGCACCAACACTCATAACCACACCCATAACTACAGCCACCAACACGCACAGTCACACCCCGCTGAAAAGCTTCTTCTCTTGTCATACGACTTATCTCTCAGCAGAAAGAGAAAGAACGTCGATTATTCGTTGAAGATTGTATTGTACTTCGTGTTCCTTCGTACACAATTCATTTCAAACGATAACAACAAATGGCGACCCCATTATGTTCATGTTTCGTTCATTAATGCAAAAGTCCGTCATGCATTGTGTGCATTCGTTGTGATCACTACTTTTGTGATAATTGTTCGAGCGAAAACAAGTATCAATTTATTGAAAAGCTGCCTCATTTAGCTGATAACATTGATAAACTTCTCATTCGATTATCGTCTATCGAACCATTATGTCTGGAACAATTTGAGTAATGGCGTGAAGTAGCTTACTAATCTGTCGTTGATTACTGTGAAAAAAGCGTCACAACTTAAAAAGAACAAGATATAACCCAAGATTAGGGTGTGGGTGTGGATGTGGGTGGCGGTATCGGTGTGGGCATGGGTTTGGGTGTGGTGTGGAGTGTGTAAGGGTGTTGGTGTCGGCGTTTTTGTTCCAAAGTAAAAGATCCACACGCACACCGACACTCCCATCCACACTCATACCCACATCCACACCCACACCCACACCCACACCCTAAATAATCCTAATGTTTCTATATACCAAAATTATGAGTACCGTAAAAATCGAATATCTCCTTCTAGAGAAGCCAAGAGCAACTAATATTTTAACCTTGTTAGTTAGGCGATGAGAGCTTTCATTTGACCCTAATATATCCTATCTTTTTGCTTATCAACACAAACACCTCCATTGTAAGACGAATACACAGAGAGAAAAGAGAAAGTAATTTTCTTTTCTTATCCAATCTTGCAGTGTCACAAAATTGCATGCTTTTTCAATTAAACTAAAGCAATAGGTGAAAAAGATAAATGCCCAAGAAACAGAACAGAAGAGGAAGTTAATGGACACCATAGGGATCAAACAGACTAGAAAAAATAAAACTGACTTATGATATGTGATTGGTGTTTCTACGTAGCAACAACAATTCCATTGATTAATTCAGTTTTAATTCACGTAGTGTGTGTTAAGGCCATAGGATAAATTAAAACATGGAAAGAAGAAATATCAATAGAGTGAGCATCGTGAATATTATGACTTGTATATAATTATTGGGAAGAGAATCTTACTCAATTACATGTAATACAATGTAAATCTTTTCAAGGTATCCTAGTTATTAGTCATAACAAATATTTTTTGCATGAAAATATTGTTAATAATAAGTCTATATCAAAAGCAAAATATCCGGAAAAAATGCATTTTTATGTCATTCAACACCAATGAGTCATTTTTGACCCAAATTTTTCTAAAGAATCGTCTTCCAACGCATTGATTCAATAGTTTGTGGAAAGGTTCTGAATAAATAGTTGATGCTTTAAGTAACATATATCAACCGTTCAAAAAACTAAATGATTAATCTGTGCTAATAAAAAAACGAAAAAACGAAAAGAAATCGGATTTTTTCATATTTTTGAAAAATCATGATTCTCCAACTCAAATATTCTATCAATAGACAACAATAAAAAGTTTAATTCTTTAGTGATTTGTAGCATACTGAGTGCTGTACATGATGTTAAAGAACTGTCTTGATTCGATGCTTTATGGCTTCAAACGGATAAGCTTTCTAAATGGATAAAAAGCGACCCACAAAGGATAAAGGATTCAGTTTATATGAAAGATAAATATCTTCCTATGATTATTGAAATTTTCAAATAATATGTATAATTTTATTTCTCTTCCTTTAAAAGGATGCAAGATTGTACCTCACTCTCTCCGTTACAGATGAGTAAATTAATTTATGAATTCTTTCTTCTTCGATCAAGTCAATATAGAGAGATCAAGAACAGGATTGAAGGTGAATCACCACCAACATGCATAGAATCATATTCAATTTCAAAATTCAAAAGAAAGGTATGGAAGTTGAAAAACTTCCAACTACAATCTAATGTCAAAATAAAGTACGATTCATAGTGACAGAATATCTTATAAATGATGAGTTTACAAGATAATTCCCAGTTACGTATGACGATCTGTGTTAGTCTGTTGAGTTGGAACCTGTTGTGTTTGAATAGTAACTCGATTAAATTTGCAGAAGAGATTTTTAAGTTCTTTTCTAAATATGCCACTTGATAGTGTAAATAAATAGAAGCTTAAACAAGGACCTGTCGTTGAAAGCATTCCAACAACTGCATTGATCATATTTTCTTGAGCTGATTGAAAAACATTTTTTTGTTGATTAGCAATTATTGCTGTATAAATTAATGCAACAGAAAATGTTAATCCTGTTATACAATAAACCAATACTTGAACAAATAACATTCGAAGCATATGCCGATTGGTCTTTCGAAGATTTTGATTAGCAGCTGTTTCTATATTAATTGAAGGTGCCATAGCAAGTCGTTTAGATCGTTCAATATTTCGTAATGTCAGCATACCAAATATAAGCATACAAAATGATGGAGATAAGCCAAAATAAATAAAGTGAAAATAAGATAAAACTATACGATAAGTTCCGGGAGGACCTGGAGGATAGCAAATAGGTTTTCGCGTTGCTGGTATAATATCAATTTTGAAAAAAATAGGCACATGAATATAAGCAATAAAGCCAATAAGAATAGTAACTGGAATAAGTCGACGAGCTACATGTACACTACTCAATGCTCTTTTATTTGTTGAGGCAGAACTGCATAAATACCGATCACCACATGCTAAAACAATTAACCAAAAACCCAATCCTCTATGTAAAGGAAAGAAAAGATATGATATTCAAAGTACTCTGATGAACTATATATACCTCAATGAATTTAATGCAAGCCATGTTATTTTGCAAAATATGACTGAATGTGCTCCTGGATCTGTGTCAATAAAAGCAGATTGAATCATTCTCATAGGTAAAATATAACATGTATGCATTAATCCAACAATACTAGCTGCCAAAAAATACATACTACAAGAATTTGATCGTAATGTAGGACGAGTAAATACATAAATACTCATTAAATGTCCCACAGTACCAAGAGGTATAACTACAAAACAAAAACATCGAATAAACATCATCGCAATGTAATTTAAATTGTTTGCTTCTAATACAATATTTGGAATAGTCGACGATGACATTTTTTTTTTATGTATGATGATAAATAATAATGAAAACGATTTTTTATATAGTGTATACCTGTCAAAATGAAATATTTCATGCTTTTCTTAATATTAAAAAGATTCAAAATGAATATGTATGTTAAATAAAAAATAATATTTGACATGCGAACCGAATTGTAATTTTTTATCTATGATATATCAAAAAAATTATCTCATTCATTTTATACTTCGATAATCAAATGCACGGATGAAAAAAAATCACCAATGTAACTTAAAATTATGTCTTTTCAGTAAAAATAATATGTCCTTCCTTTGAGAGCAAACAGTAAAAAATAAAATAAAATTTGTTTTTAAGCACAAAAAAACAAGATATACATAGTGCTATTTTAATTGGATTCTTTCATGCTTTTGTTTTACATAAGCACACTGTTCTCATTAACAATTTGAAAAGTGCAATATTTTACTCAATTTTTTCTATGATAATAATGATAAAATTCATTATTGAAGATACAATATATTGACAAATATAACAGTTTAGTTAGTAGAAAAATATGTAATTCATCATGATTGTCCAAATGGTCGGGAAGCTCACAAAGATCTTTAAAGTACTTAGGCCATCAAATATATGAAAATATCATTTGATGTCATGTTTTAGCATTAAATATATCTTTACTGTCTTGTTCCATAATCGTATACAAAATTAATTTCATATTTATTACTTATAAGTTATTAAAAATAAAACTCTTGAAAAACTTTTTCTCAATATTTGTATGTAATTCAAGACTAAAATCCCAAACTCGTCGTATTGAGTTTTAGGTCATACTCGAAAACATTGTCACAAGTTTAAATATTGTCGAAATATTTAATAATATTGTTTAGAAGATACATATATGTTTGAGAGTGTGGATGTGGGTGTGGATGTTTCAGATGGAAACCACACACCCACGCACACGACATCGACATCCACATCCAGAATGCCTGTATTGAATAGCTGAATAGTGCACGAAAATATCGAACTGAGTTTATTCAACTAGTCAAACAAAGTATTCCGTTAAATGATTGAATTAATGAACAGTTGAGTATAAGAATTTTAATCTAAAAATAATTCATAGTATTGTGAGGTGAATAGGTTACGCTACGAAGGAAAAAGATAAGGGACTACTTATGTATTTTGATTTAGCTGAGAGCATCTTGAGTGTGAACAGTTTTCCACAAACATAAGACTCCTACGCAGGCACATGCCCACAGTCATACTCCACTCTGTTAATGAATAGAACATTCACTTTCACCCTCAACTTTTATAAACTCTGCTTCCGTAACGTATTTTAATCAAATGCGCGGGCCTATTGTTGACACGGGGTGGTACTTTCGAATACAAGACTAGAAT